CCACACATCTTAAAAAATCAAAAAATTATCATAATAGCCACAAAACCAGATCAAAAACACAAAAAAAAATATATAAAAAATCATTATTTTAACACGGCGCACGAACTTTTTCCTCAACCTAATATATAGACTAATGTAATGGCATACCTAATGTAAATAAAAACGTTTATGTTTTCTCGATATAACTTCAAAAAGAGGACTATCATGAGCGTCAACTTATAATCCTATACTCGGATGAGGGAGATAACATTCTAATTTTTTTGTATGAAAGCGAGCATTTTGCAGATCAATGTAAATTCTTACGAAAAAATAAGCCGGACTCACTCAGTAGAAAAAATTATTATATTTTTACCCATTGAATATAATTCAAATCACGCATATCTACATTATCTTTATCCTAAGCTAAGCATTGTTTTATGATCTATTTTCTTCTTTATTTGCTTTGAACTAACTAAATTTTCATTTTATTTGTGTTTCAGGACGATGCATATATTCAGGAATGGACGAAAGATCATTTCGATGTAAACTTTCCTATCTTTGCGAAAGGTTCAGTTGTGAACTTGGAAGGGCCAGAAGATGATGAAAACTTTCCGGAAGTTTGGCAATTTATTGCAGGTACGTTATTTGTGCGAGGTTTTTTTCTTTAAAAGGTTAGTGAGCAAAATGCAAGCAGTTGTATATGAATATGTGGTATACTTCCTGAAAATTTAATATTGTATTAACTTTTTACTAAGAAATACTTTATAATTACTTACTCTCATGGTTTGATGCTAACATTATATGAATGATATATCTGTTTGTCATTATTCCAGAAAAAGCCGAGCCCCCCTCATGGAATTTTTGGAAGTATATTGTTGATCCAAATGGGAATATATTACATGGTTATAGTCCACAAATTTCAATTCGCGACATGTATCCTACGATAAAAGAAGTCATTGACAAACATTATCCATCTGCAGCGCCCAAGAAAGATTTGTGAAATTTGTTTGTTTGTTTTATCCTCTACGATCTGGGCTCTTCGAATGAATTGTTTCGTTGACTTTGTTTGCAATACTGTTTTTGTTTTTTTATAGATTTGAAATGCTACCTTCTTCTCCCTGCATTTATTGTTAAGTTTTTTATAATCAAGTTTTCTATTAAAAATACGAAAATCTTCTCACTCAGTTGTAAGAGAATGTAGTTTCTAAACTTCATTTCATTTTTAAACTCAACCTCTCTCATTAATTGAGTTAACTAAGATAGCCAGTGACTTCCAGTCTTGACATGTAGATTCTCGGATAGTCAAGGAAGAAGAACAGCTAGACAAACTTGCTTTTCTTCAATGTTTTGTTTTCAAATCCTTATTGATAGAATTTGATTCTGAAATGAGAGAACTATTTTTCGTTAAGTTTAAAGTTGTTTGAGAAACCACGAGAAACTGTAATAATGTAAGAACTTCAGAATATCGCTGAACGGATCTCATTTTTTCATATTTAAGTAAGAAAATTTTGCCAGCGCTACTGTCAATGTGAACGTAGTTTTCTTTTTTCAGATTTTTTTAATATTATTACGCGCCACTCTACTTGATTTAGAGGTACATAGTGACGTTTCTAGTCGTTTAGTCTATCTTGTCTGTCTTTAAGATTACTGCATTCGATTGGTAAATACAGTTAGCAAATCATACGTTTTGCTCATGACTAAATGGCAAAAATGTCAATGTGAAAACAAAAAACTTCGTCTTCACACTTGATGTTATACTATTTTATTGCTAATGTGTCGAAAGTTAGTTAGCTCATTAATTGTGTTCTAGATTGATTCATACAAAATTTTATACAACTCTTTTATATATTTACACTTTTTGTTTTTAGATGTCATCTTTAGAGGAAAGTTCTTTATTACATTCTCTCGACGGTAAAGGACTAAGAATTGATAGTGTGAATAAATTTTGATAAAATAATTTTTGATATTTTTAGAATTTATCAAACTATCTGATCATGCAAAAACAATCACATCAGAGTTAGAGAAATTTTTAAATCATATTGCAAAAACGGGTTTTATCATGTATGCATGTACTATGTCTATCAGATTTTGATCTGACAGCAATTTTTTTGTTTTTTAGTTTTCCATGGTCAAAAGTAAAAATTTTATTTATATTCAAACTTAATCAAGTACTAGATGAATTTAATAGTGAAAACGATATGGATAAATTACCGTTACATCCAAATTTAGATAATGCAACATTTCGGGAATTAAAACATGATATTATTGAACGTTTAAATTCATTTGTAAAGTAAGTTATCTGGTTACAGTCATTTTAATGAACTCTTCGTAATAATTCTTGTTAACTCATTAACTGTTTAAAGTAAATAAGTTTTATTTCTATTAAATTTACTAAGATATTTTACTGATTAAAAATAGGATTGGTCAGCTTGTGATAAGGAAATTATCTGTTGTTTATTTTTTTTAAGTGCACCGTTTACAATTCAACGTCTGTGTGAGATGATTACATATCCAAGAAGACATTATCAACGTACAGATAAATTTCTTCGTGGATTAACTAAATGTGTAATGGTTGTCACCACTGTTGATCCAGACGGAAAGTATGCTAGATTTTCATTTCATGCTTATAACATGTTTTATCTAATTTCTTTTTTGTCTTCTTATAAGTAAAATTCATACAGAAAATACAAATTCAACATTAACAAATGGTTTTAATGATAACAGCAACGGTGACGAAGAAGAAAAAAAATTAACATCAATGACATCGCCCAGTTCGTCTTTCTCAATGTCACCATCATCATCATGGAATAATAACTCATCAACAAACGAATTCAAGGACGCGCAATTTATTAGACCGACAACGGGATCATGGAAGTAGGTCTCATGTTGTTGTTTACATAGTTTTCGTTTTAATAATTCTTTTTAAAATTAAAAGACATGCTTAAAAAATATGTTGCCCAAAGTTAAAAGATATGCTAAAAAATTAATAGTTATATTAAATTTTGTTAACGGGTAATAATTTTAATACAAACACAATTGTAACAGCAGCTATTTTAAGTTTCATTTTATTTTCGTTTATTAATTAAGATTAAAATTGTTTCGGCGTTTCGAATAACAGAGTTTTCATTTTCAAGAATTCGATTTTTAAGAAGAATGTTTCATCTCGAGTGTCGAAAAGTTTAATTTCTTGTTAATTGTTGAGGAGACACATGTTGTGGTAGATTCATCATCATCATTTCAGTATTGACATTTATAATGTTAGCTGTAAAAGAATTTATCATTTTCTTTGCCAACCGAGAAGAACGTCTGGGAATCATTTGATTTGAGTATGGTGTAAAACAATCTTTCCTTTTTTTATGAGTGTCTAGAAAGAGTCTGTGTATCTTCAGAAAAAATGCCTATACAAGGAGAGAAATCTTTTTCACTTTTGCAGAGACTCTTCGGAGCATTATGAACGATGGGCAATCGTGCACAGCTATGTAAAGTTAACGTTATAAATGTCGATACTGAAACTGATGATGACGAATCTTCTATTTAACTGATGATGATGAAAATTTCTATTCTATTTATCTCTTTTGAAATTCTTTATCAAATAATTGTACAATGTATTCCTACCCTAGATGCTCGGTCTCTCTCTCTTTGTCGGTTTTATATTTTGAATCCTTGAAAATGAACACTATATTCGAAACGTCGAAACAATTTTAATGTTAATTAATAAAGGAAAATAAAATGAAACTCAAAATAGCTGCTGTTACAATTGTGTTTCTATTAAAATTAATAGACAAAGATAGACGAGTCATCGTTTTTTTGAAAAAGGCATTTTTTTTGATTGTCAATAAGGAATTTATGAAGAACGATTTAATTGATTTTTGTATTAAATTTTTTATTTTTTATTTTTTAGCTCACGATTTCCAATGAATCAGAACGATTTATCACCATTAAAACGAAAAAGTACGAACATTTGACAATATTCTCATAAAAGACAAATTAGTTTTTATTAAAAATGTCAGTCTTTTTCATCAATTCAGATTTCATTTTATACTCATTAGATCTTCATATGATCTCGACCTAAATTCAGCTACTCTGGTATTGATATCAAGCCGTTGTATCTAACAGATTGTTACTGGTTTATTAGAGTAGTAGTACTGTAATGTCTGTGAGTTTGTAATCGCTGGTCGCAGAGTTTTGATTTGTTTGTTATGGTAAAAAAATTACTACGAACATGAATGAAATCGACTGTCATTTAATTAGACTAAATTAATAATTTTAACATGTTTGATCTAGGTGTGGATGAAAATGATGATGATTCTGTTGAACCAGCAACGAAAATTCAAATTTGTTCACGTGAAGATTGTTATAGTACATCACCATTAGTAACGGAGATGGCTACTACTACATTGTGTACAACGGCCGAGCAAGAGTGTGCCGCAACATCATATCCATTGGATGTAAATTTTTTGGTTAATACCCAACAAGATCAACAACGAGTTATAAATGACGAAGATTCTCAATCATCATCGTCTACTACTTCATCAATTGATTCTCAAAACAATAAAATAACTGATTATGGTGCATTATAGTTTTCTCGAACACGTTCTTTACATAATTGTCTAATTTTTCGCTTGTTTTAGATGATAATGGAGCAAATGAAAATGTCCAGCAACAGATCTCTTCTATGAATGATGAAAATATTGAAATCGCAACACCGGTTACGTCCAGTAAAGAAGAATCTAGTTTAGTCGACGATAATGAAACCGAAAATTATAATAGTAATAGTACTAGCACATCAATGATGATAGATACGGACTCTAATGAAGTTAGCAGTTCAAAAAATTCAAAGGAATCGTTTGACATCGATGAAGAACAAGAAAACAATGACGAAGAATCAATCGATACAAATGAAATTCCTCACGATTTGCAACACGAAACAACAAAACATGAGTCAATTGAACAAGAACAACATATTGTATCATCTTCCTGCGCTACAATAACAGAATGCGATAGTTAATCTTATAAATATGAAAAAATTTTATACAAAACAGAGTTTTCTCGCTTCTGGTCAGATGATTATTCGTTTCATTTTCTTTATATTGAATTCTATAGTTGCGTTCGTCCTATCTTTTGAGTGTAAAAAGTATGTCTTTATTGCTATAATTGCCCCTTTCTTATCTAACTCTAACAGTTCTCTTTTTCATGTTGTTGTTATTTTTTGAAATGCTGATTGCAGCATCGTTTAAAGTGTAATATTTGTGTGCTCTCTTAATCTTATATATTGTTGCTAATAAAAATAAAGTGAGTGTAATAAATGTCGATGTTTTTAGTGGAAAAGATTGTAGATAAAATACTTCAAATTAAAGTTTTTCCATTAAAAACACTTTCAAGATCGAGAACAAGAAGTAGTATACTTTCTAATACTAACACTAAGAGTCGTGAACAAACGACTACTATTTTTGGCAAGAGAATCATGAGAAGAGAGGCGTTTCTGTTTAATTTAGTTCCAAGCAGTATATCAATTAACTAACACAACATTAAAAAAGTCAATATTGAGCTAAGCACATTATTAGATCGTCCAAGATGCCGGCTGTCAGATTCCATGACAGTTAGACCTTCATCGAAGGCTTTTGCAAGTCTTTCAAGTAGTTTCCTAGGAGCGCTGAAAAACTAACTTTCCCACTAACTGTGTTTTATCAATACAAAATTGAGGAGAAGAGTGGCTCTAAAGCGACTAGCTTGTAGAGTTTTCCTTCAAGAGCCTTTCGGAAATCTTTTTCGATCCAAGCGCATCATATGGTCAGAGCATCAAATTCTGAGCAAAATGAGACGTCACATGAGACGGGAAGATCCCACTTAAAGGATTTCGAGTCAGCCGGTTCTGTGAAAGTAAAATGGTCTTATCTCAGCCTTGAGATATGCTAGAAGACCTACTTGGAAAACTCTAAACCTCTCAAACGCATTTCTAACGTGTTTAGCATTGCTTTTTACGTAGAAAACCATAATAGCAGGTCTCTGGGTGGAAATATCACTGAGCTATGGGCTCATCGTCTGAAGGATTTTTCGAAAAACTCGCACTTTTTCAGTCTTTTTCTAATTTCTCCTAAAAGGAAAAACGTTTTGGAAAAACAGCTAGCTCTCATGGCAAAAAACTAGATAGCATTGCGCGGTGAGAACCTCAAGGTTCGAGCGATCAGTGTTTGATCAGCTACAAGAGTTTAAGACTCGAAGAAAAGTCATCGAATGACAAGTGCTTAGATGTGCTTCACGATGTTGGATCCAAAAATCGCTCGCCAAAAAAGATCGAAAAATGAAAAGATCAGGAGATAATCGGGATTTTTCTGAAAAATCGGTTTTTCGAGGTTTTTGACGCCCTCACAATATTTTGAGGTTTTCTGCATGAAAACTCGGTCAAATCGAAAAAATAAGATCAGATTCGTGATCAGCAGCATCCGACGAATCAGAATATGTTTCTGAAAATTCAAAAGCTTTTCCACTTGGTTTTTGCATTAGCGGCACCTTATAAAACATAATTCTTTGACGAACTCAAGGCATCACAAAGAAATAAAGAAGAAGAAAGTTTAAAAAGAAAATTCACAATGTCCTTAGGTAATTTACAAGCATCGAATTTCGCTATTGTTTTTAAACTTTTATTTATAACGTTTAACAGCAATAAAAAAAAAAATAACATTATAGATTCACAGTAAACGAGAAAAAAGATCCACGACATTCAAAGTAAGAATAAGCAGGAAAATAGATGTCTACAACATTCACTGTTTGATTAAAAATTGTTTGATTTTTTTTGTTTTTTTCTAGCAACTTAAAAAAATGTTTCGTTCAGTTCTCTTCGTCATTGAGATCGTTTAACGTTTCGTCTCCTTCAACTACATCCATCAAACTAAGTAATTCCAATTGACCTTTTCCTAGAACAGAAAGACGAATCAGTAAGCACAAAAAGGTGAAATAGTGCCGAGATTAGACATGTGATTTTTGTTGAAACATGAAACGAAATCTAGGCGGCATTGCCTCGGCACTTCTCTTATGAAAAGGAAAAGCACAACCAGTGCCGATAAGATATTTTTTTGTAGGGGTTGACTTCTTGATTTCATCTTACACGGAAAAAATCATTCAAAAAGAGCAACAGACTATTTTAGTTGAAATAATCGCTGTTTGCTTGATGATTTAATCTAATCTTGGTAAATTTCTGAATAAATAAGATACATCGACGAAGATTTCAAAACTGAGGATTTAACATTGAAAAAAGAGACATACGTTTTTTAGTCTGAAAAACATGGTGGCACCTCTAATTCAGATCAGAAGTGGCTGTGTTTAGAATCGAGCGCTTATTTCATGTTATTATTTTTGTAAAACATTCTTGATCACGAGATTTTTGTTTACAGATCTTCTGCTGAAGTCAATCATTTACTAAACTTTGTGGCTGTTTTGCAATGATCTAATGTTCGATATCTAAAATGTGCTGTTCTTTTGATCTGAAATTTATTAAGTGTCCAACCATGTCATAATGTAGTCTTACAAGGGAATCCCTAAGAACATTTCGTATTTGATTCAAACATATGCACAGAACAAGAAAAGGAGAATGTAGGCTTGGATTTCGATCAACTGTACAAAATTGGTCTTAAAAGCATCTTGTTTGTCCTATTCAATGCAAAAATCGGATACACAACGAGGCCCTTATTAATAGCCACACAAAATATAAAGAACTTTTGCTGCTTAAGGGTGAATTTGAAAAGGAGAGTATAATAACGTTACCTTTCGTTTCGGCCCTAATAATTTCATCCATTTCACGAAAAACTCCAGGATCAATCGAACAAATCTAGTAATTGTCAAGAATAAACAAATTAACATTTTTAATTTTAATGAGAAAGGAAAGCAAATATGTACCATTTGCATTGAATCACCCATAAACTCTTCATTCTCAATATTTGTAGTTAATTTATGAACTTTTTCTTTTACACGTTTTGCATCTTTCGCTATAAAAATAATATAACCTTTGTAAACGTCAACAGAATGTTTAACAATGAAATCTTACCCGGTAGAGTTAATTGAACTTTCATTTGTGCTTGTTGTATTTTAATATTTTCTGACTGTTTCAATTGTCGAATAACATCAAGTGCCTAAAAGAGAATATTTTTAAACTTTTTCAGTGTATTTTATCCATCGGTAACCAGATGTCGCATACCTGTTGTTTTGCATTTCTACCTGGATTTACGCTATAATGAATATCTCTCATTGCTTGTTCAATCATTGAAATTGTATAGGGACGTTTTGTTTCTGGATTGATACATTTTCCAGATACTATCGAAGCTATTTCTTTATATGTATTTTCAAAATGTTGTTGACGTTCTTTATCGGACACTTGTAATTCACCTTTTTCAAGAATCTAAACCGTCATAGACCAACCGTCATAGTACTATTCCAGTTTGACACAACCACACTCACCTCCACGCATATTTTTGTTTGATCTTCTGTGTTGAATGCAGCCATTAAATCTTCTTTTTTAGCTGCTTGACCTTTCGACACATTAGAAAATACTGTATGTGTTTGTAATACTTCATCAATATCTTTCTCTCTAAATAAACAAAACAAGTGCAAATAAAAAGATTCTTAAATCATTAATATTTTTTCTAACTCACTCTTTATTTCGCCATGATATAACTTTATTTCTATAACATGCGATTTCAAAACGTTTGCCACCCTTCTTTAATCGAACTGTTGCAATGTTCGTTAACTTTATCTGATTCGTTGGTGTAAAAATTTTTGTGGCCATTAGATCGAGTGAGAAGTGAAATAAATAATATATTTGGTTGTGCTTATATAATAAATAATCTTAATACTTTTATTTAGTTTGTCGATCTAAAAGAAACATATGTTTTTCATAGAAGAATTAGTCTTCGTGGTTGCTTGATAAGACATATTCTTCGGTCAACAATATTAGACTGTACTCAAGCACTTCCGTAGTTACAATAACGTCTAAATTAATTCAAGATAATTTGTTCAGTAAAAAAGACCTATAAAAACAGTCTTGTTCTCCTCAGTTTTCATACTTAATGGAAACCAGTGTTTCTAATGAGAATTGTAATCAAAATGGATTGAACCACTTTGCTCTGAAGCCTAAAGTGGCACTAACCACTTTGTGCTAAACTGCAAAGTGGTCTCGAATAAAGCATCAGCAAGCAGCGTTTATAAAACTGTTTTCTGCTTGGGTTCTAAAACATGGACCTTTCCAGTGTTTCTAATGAGAATTTTCAGCAGAGCGTACACAAACGTGGTAATTAATAAGATCAATCATGATGGCAAAACTAGAGAAGAAAACAAAGTGGAAATTTTAGAAAGCAAAGTGGTTCGCAACGTGGTTTTTTTACTTTCAAAGTGGAAAACAGAGTGGATTTCATTTTTACAAAGTGGAAGACCACTTTGCTCTCACGGGGACCACTAATCATTAGAAACACTGATGGAAACGAGCGCAAGTGTTTCCTAATTTTCATTAATGAAATTTTCTCTTTTGCAAAACAAACTTTTTCTGGCATAATAATTAGATAGATAAACGTCACTTCGGTATTGCGCAACCAAAAAATGTTTCTCCTACAAAAGCCGCCACTGGAAATTTTTATAGACGATATGTTTAATGACATCCATTGATGACATTATTGTGATATTTAAGGGCAATTGGTCCAAAGTAAGCAAATAAAAATCATTTCGAAATATCTGTTTATTCTAATGAAGTAGACAGTTATTTTCAACGACAAACTAGATATGAATAGCTGCTGTTGAGTTAATTATTTACACATATGTTGCAGTGCTTGCGCGTATTTTAAAGAAATATTGAGTCTTACCTAATGCATAACTTAAGATTAAATTAAGTAACTTACTTGACTTCAACTCACTTTAATCCAAGACGTATTTTAGTCTGTTTTACAAACAGTAAGCCTGAACAAACCATAAGTGTTGTCTAAGATATTGAAACGTAAATCTTTAATTTAATTGTTTTCCGAACATATCCCTAATATAAGGTAGAAAACTCTTTTAGAGAAACGGTGAAAAAATATAAAGAGGATATAGAATCATCCAGTGAATCATCCTCATTCTTCGTGGCCGCAAGTTTCTTCAACTTACACAACCGATCGCTAGCGATCTCACATATCTCTTCTCTGCGATGAAAAGTATAAAGTAAACCATAGCTACAAGGCAAAAAGGTCAATCTTTTCTCTTTATGATAAAGAATGAGATATTTTATTTAGATTCAATAAAGTTGCTAAGTTCTCTTCACTGGAGGTACAAGCTGAAAAAAACTGTCATGACCTATGAGTTATATACTCGGCTTAGGCCTCGTCTACACTACAAAAGTTAACGGAGCTTTAAGCAATTCTATTGGCTAAAAGTTCGTTTAAGCCAATAGAATTGCTTAATGCTTTAACTTTTGTAGTGTAGACGACTACAAAAGTTATATTAAGTGAGAAACTCGTAACCGTGTTGGATGAAAAAATTAATTCCAACTTAAGTCGTGTGCTCGACATGACTTAAGGCCTCCTCCCGGGTCAGAAATGCCGATTTCAGCAATAATACTGATTTTGAGAAAAGCACATGTTTGGATAGCCCAAAGTCTCTACTTTCTAATGACATAATTTTCGTATCGATAGGATAGGTTTGTCATAGCTTTTGAGCGAGTTTTCCAGAAGCCTCATAGAAAAAAAATTTGACTTTTTTGTACTTTTATTGCATAAGCGCAGCCATGTGCCGCACATGACGATCCGCCATGACCAATAACCTGTAGAAAAATATTGACAAATTATTTAACGCTCAAACAGTTTTTAAGTAAAATGCATTTAACCGAATCAAAACTTATTTTGCGTTTTTCTTAAGAATATTTTTAAGCTTCAGGGCTTCGCCACGTGCAGGAATTCTCGGTAGCTATACATCGGAGAAAGAAAATTTTTGTTTTTGATTTGTAGATAACAACTATAGGTAGGAGTTGACAGAGTCCGATTTTCAAATTATGCTTCCATTTTTTATAGAAATGAGGATTTCCAAACCTTCCAAGGGTTTTTCGGACTTTAAAGCTCTATTAAGCACCAGAAATCAGTAAATGAGAAATTCAAAAATCGGGCTCTGTCAACTCCTGGCTTTAGGTGTTTGCTGTAAAACAAAAACAGCCCGATCTCTCTATCATTTACCTGGAATGAAAATTCTTGCACGTGGCAGATGCCTATTTTTGGCCCTTGTCGTGGCGCTCTCCCACGAGCAGGTGCAGTGGGCGCCAAAAAAAATTTCCTTACCACACTTTGACATGATCAACATCCCCTGAAAGTTTGGTTCAGATCAGACCTACCTGAGCTGAGATAGATTTCGAACCCGGAGGGGCACCTTAAGTTAATGCTTAAGTGAGAAAAGAGTGTAGTCTGGACAAGGCCTTAGCTAAGATGTGGTCAAAGCAAGGCATCTATTAATCTTATCCAAAAATCTCTACTATCAATGTGAGATTTCGAAATTGTGCGGTAATTGTAGCGTCTATGATCTACGAAAGATTAGTGTTACCGTATGGATTTTCACACAAGCAAAAGAGTAAAAGAACTGTTTCAAAATATTGATGAGATTATTATATATTAGAGATCATTTTATCAATATTCTTACGTAGTTCAAAAATGAATTTTTTTTGTCGTCTCTAAAATTTCATCGCGCACGTAACGAAGTGTAAAAGGATCAATTTGAATGATGAATGTTTTAAAGTAAGATAAATCGTTGTTCTGAGTGCTCATCAAAAAGATTAATTTCATTTTTTGCTCATATTCTATACCATATAGTCAGTCTGTTGCATTTGTTATACTGTCGGATTTTTTGTTTTAGTCCCAGTATAGTTGTCCTACTATAGAAGAGTTTTGCATTTTCATTTTAGATTTTAGTCAATTATACTAGTTATTATATATTTAGCTGCTTTTTTTATAAAGTTAATATATATAATTTTTTATAAAGTTATTTATATTTTTTACAATGGTACGTAGTATTTTATCTGTTTGATAGCTGAAATTAAGGGCGTTTTGATTCTGAGAGACTAAATTAAAGTTAGAAAAACTTATTCATCATTTTCACCATTGAAATGTCCATGATGCTTCTTTACCATAGACATTTTTCTAATCTCTGATCTGATAATCATTTGTATTCAAAGATGCAAAAAACTTGATGATAATATGTCCATCTAATATTTTAAAATTCTTCGTTTGTCACCATTGAAAGTTATTAAAAAATTTTTGCTCACTGATAATGAGATGCCTGCATTAGATGAATATGGAAAGGCATAGAAAAGTTTAAAGATTTTTTTGAAAATAGAGGAGAAAAAAGTTTAAGGTAGAACGTCAACATTTCTTTCATGTATATTTGCTGTTTACATATTTTCAAAAATTCTATGTGACATTTTTCTAGACTAATTTCATTAAAAAAATATTCACTTCATAGACAGACATGGATAGAAAACAATTGTTGATGCAAAAATCTTTATTATCCATGTTACACCTCTTATTGTATTCATTTACTTTAGGCTGATCAAAGAGAAACATCTGATAAGAAAGTAGGTGTACAAAAAGTTGATACTAAGACGTTGAATGAACCAAAACAAGAAACCGTTGATGCAACGAAGAAGGAGACGCACGATGAATTTAAAAAACTTGAGAATATGAAAGATATGGAATTTAATTCTCCATATCAATCTTTCGAATTAGAAGCGGACAATGGACCTATGGCATCATCCAATGATCATATACTTATTTATGAAAATTTAAAATTTGTATTATATGATAAAGATAAAAAACTTAAAGAAATTGAATGGAAAGAATATGGTACAGATGGTCTATTAATTTGTATTGATCTATGTTATTGTTCATCAAAAAATATATTTATTATTTTAACACGAAGTAGTTTATATCAGTTAAATCTTGAAACATTTGAAATAACAGTTTTAAATGAAATAAAAGATGATAAAAGTGGTGGTGATGGAATAAAAATATTTTCATCAGTAACAAATCATGATGAACATATGTTTATTGCTTATGAAAATGGACAATTTGTTGATAAATGGTTATGGATACCAAAATTACAATTGATTAATAAATGGTCAAAAGAAAAGATATTAGAAGAAAATGATGATTTTATTAAATGTATTCGAACAGATGGTTCACACGTTGCATTACTCGTTTGTGATAAAAATAAGGCATTTCGTATCGAAGTATTCGATTTTAATTTTGCTCAACGATTAGTACATCATTTAGATATTGATGAACCATCATCATCATCATTCATCTTAGCAACATTGTTTAATAATCAATGGTTATTAACAGATTCAGATACACAAACAATTTATTTAATTGATGAAAATAATCAAATACAAAAGAAAAAATCAAAAGATATTTCTCCAGTAAATTCTATTCGAATGGGAAATGATTATTTAGCATTAAAATTCAAAAATCCAAATAAATTGAACATATTCCAAATATAAATAAAGATGATATTTTTTTTATTATTTAGAAATTAGAAATTAACTATTTATATTTTATAGTACTATTTTATAATAAATCCGCATTACTGTAATTGTAATAAGAATGTTTTCGTATTAATCCTATACCTATACCTACCTATACAATTGTAGACATAAAAGGTCTCGGATAAATTCCATTTATGTCCTATTAAATATTGAAATCATCGTTGCTATTTATTTGATAAACTATCTTTACTTTGAAAAAATATGAACATCTTGGTTAAAAATAAAAGAACAACACCATAATTTTATTTAAAAAAAAATCTTTTCTTTTTTTACAGAAAAATATTTTCCCAGAACTTCATTAACGTTCGTTTTCGCTACAGATATATATATATATACGTTTTGTTAAAGTTAAATATTCTTGTCTTCTATTCTTGTCCGATACATAAATATATTTTAAAATAATTATTTTTTTCCTGTTTCAACAACTACTGGTGGATAATTGCATACACTTATTTTAGGATCAAAAATTGTTCCTGGAGCACATCGACGTATCCAAAAGACACCCGTTTGATCACATTGAATAAATCGTGATGGATCAGGATAATAAGGAAAATAGTAACGACCAAAGGTTCCACATGGATTTTGAACTAAAACAGATAAATATTAAAATATGTCAATAGATGTCATTCATTTCTATGAAAAAAAAAACTCTTTCGTGTATATATATAATAGGTAAGTTGTTTCTTTACTCTTTCTTTTTTTTTTGTTCGTTGCCTTAGCACTGTAACAGTTTGTTTCCTTTTTTCTTTTTTCTGTTTTTTTTTCTTTTGTAAAAAGAAAGACAATTGAAACAAGAATAAAACAGTCAGCGTGGAAAATATACAGAAACATTGTAAAAATCGATAGTAAATATTTGGTACAGAATAAAGATGTTTATTAAAATAGTTGATATAGATCTTTTTAGTATAAAAACAGTGTCCGATCTTTTCAACAAGTTTATAAATATTGATGATTTAAGACAATTAGAGTCAATCGATGAACCTGAACAATATGAATCGTTTATTTGTCAACATTTAAAAATAAATAATCCAAAACAAAATTTTCTAACAGCATCCATACTCGATTTGTATACGTCTATATTTTATCATCTTTGTCATGATTCAAAATCCAGTCAATATCAACCAAAACAAATTATTTGTATTTTAACCATTATACACGGTTTATTATGTGAAATTCAACGTCATCCAGGTGATATTATTAAACTAAATAAAGCATTTGTTCATGTCTGGGATATTCTAATGAAAACAAAACCCAAACCATTTTTTAATCAATACCAATATTCTATTGTAATCGATTTTATTATTCAAACTGTATTTCAACATCGAATATTATATGAAACAATTTTATCTGAAAAACCATTACATCAAGATATTGATGAAATACGAACGGTCAGTAAGAATACAGTTTGTACACTCTATTTAAATAGGATAAAACGTCTAATCTATATGATTTCGAATAAATTCATCTATCATTTTGTGTTTTAGATTGATCACACGCTATTCACACAAAAGTTATTACCTTCACCATTAACCGAAGCTATTCCATTAGATGTTTACAATGAAATCATTCTTAAATTACCATTGGTACCAGCAGAAAATATCGAAGATTCAACGCAAATAATGAACAATATTAATCAAGATGTGGTAAAACAGTCAAATAATGAAGAATTAGAACAATTAGCTGATAATGTTGCCAAACAATTTAAAAATGTTACACGAGAGAATGTTTTAAAAATATTAAATGAAGTATCGGGTGAATTTATGAAAGATCTTAATCAAGATATGCATGAAAAATTGAAACAACGAGAAAGAGATATATTAGAAAAGTTTAAAATGTAAGAACATTTGAAAAAAAGAAAGAGACACACTTACTTCCACCACAACCACCTAAACCACATTGACATTGCCATTGACCTGCAAGTTGGGAACAAGCAGAACCCGATGGGCAAGCACCTGTTGGACATCCCCCAGCAGGTGCAACTTGTCCACCAGCTACTGATGGCCATAAGTACGGCCAATTATACCAGTTTACATTTTGATATGGATAGGGATAATAAAAACCTAAAAAAATAATGTTTGAATCATAATTATTCTTTAATAAATTAAGTATAAAATATTTGCCTCGAGAATCGATAGGTGGTTGTTGTGGTTGTTGTATCTGATGTGGTGATACTAATGCTTCACTTAGAGCTTCAATCATTCGATTTGTCAGGACATTTTCTGTAAAATTCAATGCTGGTAATGAAAATATTTGTGATAATGTCACAAGAACAATTAAATATTGAAATGATTGATGCATCTTCTTTGAAAAACAAAAAGTTAAATTTCTTAAGAAGTGTGAATTAATAGTAATACATATACTTACTGTGGCTTTTTTTCTGTTGTTGTTGTGTGAGCACAATTTGGTCTATTTCTACTCTGATGATAAATAGCGATCACATCCGAGAATTTATACGTGATTAACATTTTTTTCGTGGGATAAACGCAGAGGTGGTGATATTATTATTATTTTTCTTAATGGGAAGGTTACAAACGAGGGTTTGTAGTGTTAGTAGATGAAAAAAAAGAAGAGACGACTATTTGTGATCTCTTCTGTAGTAGAATGTAAGGTTACATTTGGAAGGCACTTCTTTTTCTCTCTATCTTTCTCTATCTTTCTATTTCGTAATTTGATTTTTTAAATGTAAAAAAAGAGAAAGTCATGAGTAAGGATCAAGTTGTTTGAAAGAATTTTGATGTCTCCGTTTAACTTCATATCGTATGTATATGTGTTTATTTTGATGACAGATAAGTATGTTCAAAATCGGCCTACAATGAGATTATATTTTTTGTTTGTAACCTTTTTCTTTTCTTTCACCTTTTTGATTGCTTGATTTAACTTTTTAATGTACGACATCTCTCATTTTTCACGACCAGATGTTATGGTTTACGAAACGAAGAAAAAGAAAAGAAAGTGAAACCGTTCATGGTCGTACTATTATCGGTGCGCTTCTCAAAACGGTGAATTGCGTTATTTTTTTGTAGACACATTTTTAAAAAGTGTAATTTAAAAAATATTTAGCAATCTAATCCAGACATTTCTTTTCTATAGCAAAAGGGGAAAGGGAATATGTCAATGTATCGTCGATTGGAACTCGTTACGAGGATTTGAAAGTCAAGGTCATAGAGTAGATATATCTGTACCTGGACAAATGGCCCAGATTAACATACATCTACGCTAATGTGTAATATCTATAAGAGATATATAGATATTGTCAGCGTATAGAAATATTTAGAAACAAAATATTTTATTGAAACATCAACTTTGCATATATTATTATCTAATTACTAATTCAAAATCAATTGTGATGAACTTTTCATAAAAGATTCTTAATCTGATAAACTAAAATGTCAAATATATTTTTAGAAAATGAAAATGTGTATAAGATAATTTTAGGTTTCATGATTAAGCCTTTGTTAAATTGAAAGTATTATTTTTTGAAAATGTGCTTTGTCCCCATATAAACGAAAATTTCTATTGCTAACTAGATATACATTAGATATCATCGGCGAATAATGTGGAGAAACTATTCGCAAATCATTTAGTTATGCTGTGGATATAGGTGCCGAATGTATCCGTAGAAATGAAAAAACTGCCCGCGATGAAAAAATTTCTAAAAAACTTTCCACTAGTGAGTGCCAGATATATTTTTTTCCGCAGTTATTTTTTACTAAAAATTCTATTTGCTAAACTTTTTCTCAAAAATTTCCCTGAATCAAACGACGGACGTTGGAGCAAGGTATAGTCTGTACCTCTGGTTGTGGAGCTAGTTTACAGAGAATTCAGCTAAGACAAACACAGACAGCAGCGGCTCATCAACAAAATTTTGCATAGAAAATGATCTTCATAGCCTAAATACTTTTCAAGTGGTCTTAGACGATCTTAATCATAGTGAGGAGAAAAGTTCTTACGGGATATTGCAGGGTTTAGATACGTTTAAATTTTCATAAAGTCACAAACTCAGCGAAAAATGCATCTTAAATTTAAACAACACATTTATATTATCAGTTTATTGGACACATTTTACCGTACAAAGTGTTTCCTTTATTCGTTTTATAACTTATTTTAATTGATGGAATAACAACAATAGCACACATTCAAAACACATTCTTTTTTGATTAAAAAATGAAAAACGAATTGCTGTTGATATCCTCTACTTGTTCGCTCTTGTTTTGTGTGTGTAGGCTTTTAAATGATACCAATTCGATTTGCAACATCTAATGCATCATGATCAGCTTTCAATCGAACGTAAGCTTTCTTTTCACCATCCGGACGTATTAAGGTGTTTATTTTTTCAGCATCAACGTCATACATTTTTTTTACAGCCGCCTTAATCGATGGTTTATTTGCTCGAATATTAACAATAAATACTAATGTATTGTTATCTTCGATTTTTTTCATTGCTGATTCGGTTGTTAATGGATATTTGATAATGGCAAAATGATCAAGACGATTACGTTTTGGTACAGATCTTCTTGGATATTTTGGTGTGCGTTGTAAACGTAATGTAAACGGACGACGAAATGTTGGTGTTGTACGGATTTTTCGCTTACGTGTTAATTGATTACCACGCATAGCACGTTGTTTTGCTTTTAATGCAGTTGTTTTAACCTTTTCTTTCTTTTGTTTTGTCACAACTTTTGTTCCATCGCTACCAGCACTACTAGTGACTGCTCCGGTTTTTGGACCTGTTGTTGTTGTTGGCACTTTTGCTTTTTTAGTAACGGATGCACTTGCCGTGGTTGTTGTAGTAGATGCAGTCGAAGCAGCACTAGCTGATGCTGTGGCTGTTGTTTCTTTCTTTTTTGCTGGTTCTTTTTTCGGGGCCATTGATCGAAAATTTCAATGAAGAATTTTAACAAATGCAATCTAGAACAATGAAATACATTGTTTTATTAACAAAAAAATTAATTTTCAGCAGATGAAAGGTGATCGACATCCACTCAAGCAGAAGAATTTCAAAATAGTTAGTTCTCTACTAGAACTGAGAAATTTCGTGACAAAGCGAAGAGCAGTTATTGAAAAGATTTTAAACCGCTCTTTTTCACAAAAGCCTTATAAAGAATGACTGAAGACTATAAAATAGTGCAAAAGGTTTTTTTCAATCTATAAATTTCAATTAATTCACGAAAAGTGAGACATTTGTGAATTTTAGACTTGCAGTACGATAACTATAGCCAAATAAATAATCAGGTGAAAAAACAGACGTTCAACACTGACTTTTAGGACGAGCTAGACACGATTTACGACCCTCAGGTTTTCATGGCAGACATATTAATAACTTTACGAAAAATCCTAGCTTTACACTATGGCTAAGCAATTCCAGATTGGTAATGATTAATTTCAAGTGTCACCTTAGCTATCCATTACATTAGTACTAATATTCTATAAACTGTGCCTGTTTTAAAAAAACTTTTAGAAAATGTATGTGATGCAACTTCCTAAGCATAATAACTGCATCCAGATCGTACGCAGCACGAACACCCAGTTTCCTGAGAAGTCCCAGATTTCCGTTTTAATCTAGCATTTTTCTCGTCTTCAAGTAAAGTTAGAAATAGGTTTTCTAAACAGTTGATTGAACAATGAAAAATACAAACAACCTGCTATTAACGCACTTTGAATAATCGGTTTGGTTACTTATTTATCTTATTTTCCTATTACTTCATCACATCAACAGTAGCTTTTATTGGTCTTTTAAAAGCCCTAATCTGCATCGTCGAACTCCTTATGACAAATCTCGATGTTCTGGACCAACGCACGAAAAGAATTATAATTACACTTTAAGGATTTACTATTCATATTGACTAAAACTAAATAGTTGTTGTACTAAACATTTCGATGATAACGGTGTTCGTTGTAGAGGTCGTTACTCGCTTTTAGTTTACTGTCGCTTTCCGTCTTGCGTATCTTTCTAGAAAAAATGGCAAGTACAGACCTTATTGCATTCATTATTTGGCTAACGATTGTAATCGGACAATTGTCTATCTTCTTGCTTCTTTTGTGAATTTACTTCTACGTGTTTTACCAAGGAATTTAAGTACTTGAACCAAGGATGTTCGCTAGGATAACTTAACCCCTTGATCTGCTGTTAAATCAAAATTGTGAAACGAAAGAATCCTCACTAATATTGTGAAGACCAACAGAGAAACCAAAGCAGTTGCATTTTTCAAAATCATGTACAAGAGTGCAAGTCTACTCACAGGTGTATGAGATAATGAAAAAATACCTGAAGAGTATAATGAATTGAATCTGTGTAAGGAGCAAGAGTGTCGAACCGATGGCTTTTATCAAATTTCTGAATAATAAATATTGTCAACACACGCATTTCTTGTTATGTTATTATATCCTGAGTGAAAGAGTGCCATCCCGTGTTTTGAACACCGACAAAATATCACCGGTCAACCGCCGGTATACTACCGTCTAAAAGAAAATACCGTTCGATACACGATTATTTTCAAAATACTACCAGTAAAAAACAAATATCGTTGATAGTTTATTTTTAGACTGGCCGATAGTCATGGATGACAGTCATCGTAGGACATCCTAAAACGAGGCAGTAATGTAGAAATAAAGTTTTCTGTTGTCCCAAGTCTGAGCCCGAACATAACATTTTTTGTTCCGTCCCGTAAATCCGAGCCCGTGAGCAAATAATGTCGTCCCGAACCCGTCTGTCCCGTTAAAAAAATTTACTTTGTTGTCCCGTAGGTTTTTGAAAATTTTTCTGTGGTGATAAACTGTAACTGTTACAAGAGACGCTTAAAGTCTCAAGCTTATTTTTGCAAAAGATCCGCGTAAAATTTAATTCACAAAATTTAAGCTTAATTTATTTGATTTTAAACTTAAAAGTTTCTGTATAAAAAATGTTTTACATCCACTCACTACCTCAGAATCGAAGGCCAAGAACTGTAAAACTAGTTTTAGATATGGAACACCTTCTCAAGCTTAAATCCAGACTATTTTGCCTCTCCAGGTTAATTTTTATTAGTTATTATAAAACTACGGTTTTGACTTGATAATATCACAAGAATCAAATACTCAAACATTTGAAGTTGCGGCATAATCACAAACAAAAGACAACACTGACATGACAACATTTTCTGCAACTTGTCCCGATCGCATGAAATGTTTTTCTTGCTCCGAGTCCATGAATCCAAGCCCGTACATTTATTTTGTTCCGACCTCGTCTATCTGACGGGATGGGATTTGGAGCTGTCCCGCCTAGTCTACAGTAATGTGTAACTCACGTCAAAGTAGGCATGCACCAGTTACAGTTAACTGTAAAACTGTAACTGTCATAACTGTGTAACTGTTATAACTGTAACTGTGAAAACTGTAACTGCTCATAACTGTAGACAAATATTCTAGAGTGAATTAGTCTTCTACGATTTGCATACATTTTAAGGATGTCTCTGTTCTTAAAATGTCTCCAAATCGTAGAAGACTAATTCACTCT